TTTTTTTTTTTTTTTTTTTTTTTTGGGGGGGGGGGGGGAGTTTAGAAGCTTTTTGCTTATGTTCAAGCACAGTTTGTATTTCAGACGACAGGCCACAGTCCTAAACAAAAAGAGGAAGATGTATTTTAGATGCTGATAACAGTGACGGCTACAGATGCACACAATTTAGGGTATGCTATCAAGAGTCGGCAGTATAGATGTATCGCAGCATGAGCAGGAGTGACCGATCTAAGTTGAAAACATCTTCCCTCTCCCTGAATCGGATGAGTAACGAAGTGGCCCAATACATAATATTTCTTTACCTCTCTCTTCTCTGATCTCATTTCAAACACAGATTAACTCAGAAAGAGTAGAAAAATAACTAATTGCAGCTCCTAACAGACATCTGATTACTTTTGAGTCAACCTAGCACAACTGGATATCACAATTTCAAACTGGTTTCAGAAAGCATGTGCAAAATCAAAATCAAAGTGTCCTACCAAACACACCTGGAAACAGGTAATATAATGCTTCATGCTTATGAAACCAAGTGATAACCTTAAATATTTCCCAAATAAATTGCAATTGAACATAACAGCTGCAAAAATAATGTAGCTTTGTAAAAAATCGTTACAACAAAGTGATAATTCTTTCATTAAAAAACAAAATAAACAAACAAGCTCACCTTCAGAACCCTGGTCTGCTCTTTGAACTCCTCATCTTCATCAGAGTCTGCATCTGGCAGCTGGTAAATCCTAATGCCATGCTCAGAAATCTCATCCAAAACCTGAAGGTTTTTTTGAGGAAGGAGAAGGATAACAATGACGGTTCTTATTTGGCTATAGACCTACAATAGCTTTCAAGTAAATGAATCTCTTAAACAGGTCTGCCATCCAAATCCTCTTTACCCTGCAGAGAGAAAATTTCCAATATGCTTCCTACTCTAAGGAGCTTGACAAAGCAATAGAGGAAGTTATTAACATAAATTAAATGTGCTTACATTTTGGTTATGTGTATTACCTACAGAATATCTAAAATTCTTCAGCTTCACTTAGAACCTGCCTTTACCCCTACTTTAAATCAGTATTTTCCTATTTCTAAGCAGCAATGGAACCTACTTGAACATTCAGTCCATAAATACCCTACAAAGCACAGCTCAAAAGAAAAAAGTGTTGATTTACAAAACTGTATGATTTGAGATATAGAAGACTAATATTAAAGTGGAAAATAATGATGATGTCTTAATATGCCTTGAGGAGACCTCCCATAAACTTTGTAGGAGTTCAATTACTTATCCAACAAAGTTACATCTTGAAAGCATTGTCAGGCTTTGTTAATTTGTATAAATTGACCAAAAGAGAATCTAGGAGACATAGTCACTGAAAGGCATGTTAAAAAGCTGCAAGCTTTTGTGAAACTAATTTCCCCTAAACTATTAACAATTGAAAAAGGCAGGGGCTGCTAATTAACAAGTGATTAAAAATGAATGACGGCTCTCCATCTTTGCTCTCCTTACTTAAGAACAATGCTTACAACGTCAAAGCACACAACATGATCGTCTTACTGCGCTATGTATCACACTGGTACCTAGATAATGTGAAGCAGCTAGCTCACATTTAAACTTAATTAAGTAGCCTTATTATTCCACATCTAGTACTTTAGATGGTAGCAGTTCACTGAATTCAAATTTTTAAGAGGTACTGTTCTACTATTACCAGCCCTTTACTCAAGGAACTCAAAGACTATATAACATGCACTTGGTATATATTACCAGTGAAGATGCAACATCTCACTTGTTACGGATGTTAATCTTATTACTAACTAGACAGTTATGCAGCACACAGTACTTTACACAGATTAAAAACAAGACACAGCACTTGTCCTTCAAATCCATGTTTGTTTTTGACTGCAAAGAACAAAAGTATAAAAGCAACAGGCAGGAGCTAAAAATAATTTAAGTTAT